CTCACGAACTTAATCCGTTCCAGGACCCAAATTGGTCGTGAGCCAAGTTAAATTTCCCCATAAGGTTCAATGTAAATAAGGTTAATCCGTTCTGTAACCATCTTTTAAATCAGAAAAATGTGAAGCAAAGTGACAAAGAACAACAAAGATCACAGCCATCTCCCCCCTCCCCACCACCCCAAGCACAAGCACGGCCATCTCCCTGCCCCCCCAGCATGACCAAGATCATGTCTGTCATCGCTGCAGGCGCCCATCATCCCAGTGCATTGGGGGGAGAGACGGGCGTGATCATGGGTGCACTGGGGAGGGAGAGATGGGTGCAAAAGGTGCACTGGGGGTGGGGAGATGACTGCGATCCTGATCGCCACCCAAAGTGGTGTTCGTGACCCAAGTGAAAATTTTTCTGAAATTTTTGTTCGTGACCCGATTTGTTCGTGAACCAAGGCGTTTGTGAGCCGAGGTACCACTGTAGTTACCTAAGCCTTTGTTTAATCAGAGTATTCTAATTTATTCTTTTTTTCTCTCCTAGATGAATTGAGAAAATTGCAAGAGCAGATGAAGAAACTGCAGGAACAGTTACAGATGACAGCAATAGGACAGCCAGTTAATACTGTTCCTAGCAAGAAAACATCTGGTAATTAGGCAATTTGCCTTTTAACTGTTCAGAATCCAAACTTGCGTTCACAGCTGTCTTATGCTGGCAAACAGTTACCAAAGTCTGCAAAGGGTGTGAGGGGGGGGTGCGCCGGTCTGATTATTGTATCCTTCTGCTACTTGATGCTGTGAATTTTCATTGAAATCCCGAGCAAGATGTGCAACTTGACACATCATGAAGATAATTGAGATTTGGTGATGATTTTCTGGGCATATTACGAAGGCCTGCTGTATTTTCATATCAGCTATAAATGTTAAATTTGGAATGTTGCTAGTCCAAAATTCAGCAATTAATAGACAAATTGAAAGTGTGTGCTTTTCTTCCTCAAAATGTTTTTAATGATGTGCATGTTTTATGTGTTCTTATAAACTGCCCAAAGAGCTTCAGCTATGAGGTAGTATAGTTGATGGTGGTGATGATGATGAAGATGATATTGCTGAAAAATGATGATACTGCTTTTTAAGAAATTTTTAACGCTTAACCCTGAATGCTGTGGCCCTTTGTATATTGCTTTTATAAATGTTTTAATAGGTTTTTAATGCATTTAATATGTTTATAATTTGTAAGCTGCCTAGGAAGGCCTCGGCAGCTATAGGTGGCCTATAAATATTAATACATGTATGAACGAACAAACAAATACCTTGCAGCTCCCCTGAGATTGCTAATACTTCCTTCTTTGTAGGTGGTGCTTTTTTTCTTGTTTCATAAAGGGAATTGAGTTCACTGTTACTGTATTGCTGTTAAGTTTAATATATTGTGTTTAAGATGCTCAGTTTGCCTCTCTTTTAGCCTAAATGCAGGGAACATGAAACTGTATCTAAATTAAGTTGCAAACACTCTTCCTCATTTATTATCTTCATGTCTTCCTCATTTATTATCAAGTAGTTAAACCACAAAGGCTGCAATCTTACATGCTTGCTAAGCATGTAAACATGAATGGGTTTGCACTGTTAAGGGCATAAACCAATGCATGTTTAAACGGAATAAAGTCCTACACCTGCCAGCATTCCCCAGCCAGCATGGAAGTTGTAGGGGTTTTTCTGCCTAAGCATGCATAGTAGTGTGCCCTAAGTCTTTTAAATATTCTTTGATTTATTGATCAGGTAAATCCTCTGCTGCCTGCTTAAAAGAATTTAAGTCTCCAAAACTTCAAGAATCAACATTTTTCTCAGCCCAACTGAACAGCCCTGCTTTGCTGCCCTCTAAAAGCCAGTGCCAGAAGCCAAAACCTTCAGGTATACTACTTAATCATTGCCATCAAACTCAGTTTGAAGTTTGGTAGGAGCTGAATTTTTGCCTGCTTATTTAAACTGCACGAAACCTGGGAAATCACCAAGCAATTTAGAAAAGGGGGCGTTGGGACTAGGGGAAGGGAGCTTGGCAATTTAAATAAGTCCAGAGGACCAATTTGGGAACCTGGCCTGAGGTTCTGCACGCCTGTTCTGTACATACCTTCTTTATTAACATTTCATGAGCACATTCTTTTTCCTCTTCTTAGGGATTAAAAGCCATGCTTCAAAGCCACCTCCAGGTTTAGTGCCTCAGCCTCTTAAATCTGTTACCGGGAACAGATCTGGTGTGGCCACCAGTCAGAAATCTCAAGTGCTAAAGAGTTCTGGGGTAAATAATCATGAAGTCTTCCTGGAAGTCTACTCTGGGCTAAGATTAAGGTTAGCAAATTGTTGTGAAAAATTTGTTGAATGTTATTTATTTCATTTTTATAGCCAAAGCTCCCTGGGCAGTTAACAGAAGTTAAACAAAAGTTTAAAAAATGCATACACAAATTAATTTAAAAGAACAAAACCATACTAGCAATGCCAATTACTGTAATTCAGCATAGAAGTATAGCAGCACTACAGAATAAAATGGAATATATAAAAACATAGTTTAGAAGTTGAACTATTAAAATACTGGAAAAATAAAAAGGTCTTCACCTGGCACTGAAAAGAATATAAAGTAAGCATCAGGTGCACCTCTTTGGATAGTTCCTTTCAGAACTGGGATGCCACAACTAAAAAGGATCTCCTCCTGGTAGTAACCCACCCACTTCCTTTGGAAGGGGCTCCTGAAGAAGGACCCCCAAAGATGACCTGAGGGTCCAGGTAGGTGCATAAAGGAAGAGGCAGTCCTTCAGATAACCTGGCCCCAATCCAGTTAGTGCTTTGGATGTTAGTATTGGATGTGGCCAAACAATAGTGCTGGGGATGTACCTTGCTGACAATAAGGTACATTCTGGAAAAGAACTAGGAAAACTGAATTTTCTAGTCCACACAAATAATGCAAGTTGGTTGCATAATTTTACTCCAGATCTGATAACTATGGGATGGGGTAAGAGGCTTTGTAGGACATTGCCTTCAGGATTTGGAAAAGTTGCTTCTAAGATTATTCAAGGCATCAGGCTGACTTAGGTGCTCAAATGGCCTACCATCATTTTATTTAAACCACAATGGGCTGTGATACATGCAGACAGCCTATGCTATGGTTATGCAAGGGTTGTTTAATCCTCCCACAACCCCTGCTATCCAGATTCTTACAGTATGAATATTCAGATCTTAATTAGCATGCACCACAACCCAGCATGCCTTAAATAAGTCTTCATGGGCTATTGTGTGTGCCAAGTGGGATTTGAAAAAAAAATACATTTTAAAATTTTGAAATGACCAAGTTTGTATGAGCAAAATGGCATAGATTGGCTTAAATAGGCTGTGACTTTTAATCAAGGAAACTGTCATTGTCTACATTCTTTCAAATGTACTTTTCATCTAAAGGGCTAGAAACTTGCTTTTTTCTGCTGCTTTTTAAACAAGGGATTTAAACAAGATGAGTTCTGCATCAACATTCTGAATTTTTTTTCTAGATTTTTGAAACTCCTCACTTCACTGGAAATGTTTTCAGTGACTAGTTTATAATGATTCAGTCAAAATCCTCTTCAGTAAATGAAGGGCATTTGATTGACTTTAAACTCAAAGATTTAGTGAAAAGTTGACTTTCTAACAGCTTCCTTTTTCTTTTCCTTTTAGAAAACCCCGTGTCTCCTCAGTTGACATGGAAAGGAAAATGGCAGGCCGGACACTTATTAGACTTTCTCAGTTACAAGATAAGCTTCCTTCTGTCAATCTTGAGGAAATGGACTGGGTAACATTTGGTGTCATAATAAGAAAAGTCACTCCTCAGAGCTCTAATAATGTAAATAGTTTTATCATTTTCTTGCTCTTCTCCAGCATGGCACTTTGACTAATGTATGAGTAATTCTATTATGCTTCTATTGTGGTTTGCCCCACCTCATATTGAAGTAGTGGTGCTGTGAAAGGCAGCACTTGTGGAACTGTCATCCTCAGCACCAGAAATTTGGCCACGGTGTGATTAGTTTCTTTCTAGGTTTTGTTTGGGGCTCCTACTACAGTAGACAGGCACCTGTCAGAGGGCAGGTATGCAGTGCAGAATGCATATCTGAAAGGCTTTTTCTCTCTTTTCCATCCTAGCAGAAGTCATAATACAGGCAGTCCCTGAGTTATGAACAGCCTGTGCTTGCAAACACATTTCTTACTAATTTTTAAAAAGTATGGCATAAAATCATCATCAGTGTAGAGAAAGGAAGCAAAAGCGGGAGACGGGTGGCCTCCAAACCAGGTCTTCCTGCCCCATCTATCCAGTGAGGAAAATCTCTCCAGCATTTCGTTCTTACAAAGAGCAGGCACTGGTGAGTTGGGGAGGGAGGGCTAGAGATATTCATGGTTTTTCCATTTTCATGGGGACCCTGTGCCCCTAACCCTAGCAAATATGGAGGGCTGACTAGACATGGTCCAATTTACATACAGATTCAACTTCAAGATGAATTCCCGTTTTCTCAGGACTGGAACCCAGGAACTGCTTGTAATGCAGTGATATACACCTTTATTGTTGTTTAAAGTACCTGGGTAATTCCATAGCGGTCATAAATTTGTGCGCCGCCCCGAGGCTTCGGCAAATGGGGCGGCATATAAATGTTTTAATAAATATATAAAATAAATAAATATATCCTCTCTGGAATTATGGCTCCAATTGTTCTTATTTAAATGCCTGATTGGTTATAATATATAAACATCATGAAATATGGGTTTCCAGAGCTCTTTTGTAAACAGCATTATAGAAGGAGGAGAGGGATTTCATGGAGAAAAATGTTTCTGATCTTTAACTAGCTATTTCCCTTGCCATTAAGGAAAAGCAATTCTCTGCTAGAATTTTGTTAGCTTAATTGCACAAAATAGCATTTCACCTCACCTTCTGAAGCTAATTTTCACTCATCAGGGCAGAAGCATTTTCTGAGGAGGAGGAGTTGGCATAGTATGGTGCTGGGCCCAACTTCAGGCAGAGTGAGGTGGTCACCTCCACCAGCAGATGCTGGGCAGCAGTGGTGGCAGCCAGCCAGCTCTTCGCCTCTGTTGGAGGACAGAGCTGCCCTCTCCGCAGCCTGTCTGCAACTCCCTAAGCTAGCCTACTGCCTGAGGTGCGGTGGTGAATATGGTCCTATCATCAGTGCTGAAATAAGATTGAGTCGCCTGTCCCGCCAACTTCTGTATATGAAATAGGGAGGGGAACTATTTTCTCCGTTATCTCATGCAGGTGAATGTTTTGGGCCAGCCCATGCATTGCATATGGGCTGAAGTTTAAGTTGATTGCCAGGAAGTCTCTGGTTCATATCTCCCCTTAGCCATGAGATCCTTAGATTGCCTTAGGAAGCCACTCTCCATTGGGTTGCTGAAGGAGCACCTTCTTCTGTATGTTCTTGACCAGTTGTTGAGATCTGCTGATCATTTGCAAAGAATCTTTTCTGTCTACCACCACCTACAATGATGTGATGAGTGGCTACCATGAAAAGAGTCTTCTCTTTAGTCCCCCTGCCCGTATTTTGTGGAATGCCCTTCCCAGGGAAATTTTCCTTGATTTATTCATTACATTTTTACGCTGCCCCATAGCCTGTGGGGCTTTCTGGGCAGTTTACTAATAAAACCAATCAAAATCAAATATAACAACTTGACAACTCCACATTGCCACAACAAGACCTTCCACTTTAAGCATGCATTTAAACTTTAATCTGTTGCTTGATTATTAATTTTACTGCTGCTTCCTTACTGCTTTGAATATTTTACAAATGTTTTTAAGGTTTAAGGTTTATTAATATGTTCCTTCTCGTTGCTGTTTGGTTTTATGATTGCAAACTGCTGTGAGGGCATTCGCCAGTTGAGCAGTATATAAATCTTATAAATACCATGGTTTTATATTTATTGCATAAAATTGGTGCACTGCGTCTTCCACTGTAAAGTTCTTGGGGCAGTTTACAACCCTAAAAATAACAACAATAAAATACACTGTAATAAATCATTCCAAACAATGGTGAAGCTGCAAATGTAGCTGTGTTAAAAGTGACTAAAAGATTTAAAAGGATTGAGAGAATAAAACATCTTCATCTGGTACTGAAAAGATAGTGACATTTTTATTTTTACAACCTTAACATCTCTTCCAGGGTAAAACCTTTAGCATCTGGCAGTTGAATGACCTCCGGAACTTCAACAGATACGTCTCCTTGTTTCTCTTTGGCAACGTTCACAAAGAGCACTGGAAGATAGACCAAGGCGTGGTCATAGGGCTACTCAATGCTAATCTCATGAAACCCAAAGAAGGATCCGATGAGGTAGGTATGAGTTCTGGTGGAGGCAGTGCACAGGTTGGACAGAAATCTCTTGATTTCTGCATCAGGAACCCTTTTCTCACATTTTCTATAATGTGTCTTTTGAGTAGGCTTGGCTACTGGGGAAAGGATGAGGAAATGCTTTCTTTTCTTTGCTGTCTTTTGCAGCTGTCCTAAATTCTGTCGCACAAGATGCCTGCCTTTACCTAGGAGTCAGCCTTAAAATAAAGTAGCAGGAGCTTCCCTCTCCTTGTGGTAACCCAATCCTGTCTGCAGGGTTGAAGAAAACAATGTTCTGCTTTAGCTGAGGGTGACTGGGGAACAATTTGCGTATCTGCTTAGGGACCTGACTGTAAAACCACAGAGCTTAGCACCATAAATCCAATACTGGACCCCAAGTATACCTCACTGTGTTACACTCAGAGACACAGACATAACTTTATCCACCCAGAGTATGTTGTCATGAAGTTTGAGGTAACATCTGATATAGTTTCCTCAGAGCTATGTTATTAATGCAATGGATTAGGAAAGGGAGCAGCCTTCCCTGACTTCCTGTTTGGAGCTTCAAGGCTTGTCAGCCCAAGACAGATCACCAACGATCTAAAATGCTTGGGAGTTCAAAACATCTGGAGTGCTGAGGAAGGCTAGAATAGAGCACAGGTAAACTGGGCAGCTCTGCCCTTACTGGCTGGCTTAAAGCTCAGATTTTGTGGCAGAAACAAAACTGTGGCAGCTGCTGGTGAAATTGGCTGCAGCGGAGGTTTGTAAAAAGTCTTAAAGGGTAAATAAATGTTTTCAATATTTACATACCACCCCAAGCAAATGTCTGTTAATGCTTTCAAGTTACATTAATAACCCTAAAACATAACATGAAAATAACATCTAAATTGGAATAAAACCAGACACAGAGAATAATGGTAATGCTACAGATTTGAACAGGACTAAAACATTTGAGATGGGGAACCTTGGAAAAGTAACCATCATTTGTCTCCATCACTTTGACCAATATTCTAACTGAAACTGTAGAGGACCACTTCTATGCTCCTTTTTCCTTCCCCTTATTAGCTCTTATTCCTTTGTCCTTCCTTTGATCTGACCCAGCCTCATTGCCGAGGATCCTGTCAGACAAGAGGTCTTTTGGAAACGAGAAAGGCTTGACTCAAGATCTTAGGGTCTACTAATGGGAGGCCAATAGCATAGACCAAGAGTAGGCAAACTGGTGCCTTCCAGATGTTTTGGGCCACAACTCCCATAATCTAAATAATCTGACTATTGACCATGCTGGTTGGAGCCGGTGGTCTTTGTAGTGCAAGGTTTCTGGAGGGTACCAGGTTGGCTACTTCTTGCACAAACCCATGTGTGGAAGGCCACATTCTGGTGTGTGGGATTTCTTCCCACCCCAGATTTCTGAAGAATACTTTAATGATTTGAAGTGACTTTCAGCTTTCAACATAATGCAAAGTTAGTCTGAGCACTTGCTTTAATCCTTACATAGTTTCAGTGCAGTGGAGTGCTGTTTGCAAAAAGGCTTAGATGATGAAGAATTAAAATTGTGTTTGTCCTCATAACCTGGCATCATTGTTATTGGTACTACATCCCATCATATCCAAGTACATCGTTATACAAAGAAGTTGTTCAGTGTTGAAGAATATTTGTTTTGATGGCTGTAAATCCCATTAAAAGAAAATACAGGCATCTAAAACTACACTCATCAGGTTGTCTTTGTTGACTCTAAATGTAATTCTGGCCAGTTACATTGTACGGCTTTGATATATGCTCCATTTGAGTTACAGACCTTTTCTCTTTCAAAATGCCACCAGTCTGCATCTTGTCCTGGCACCATGGGACTAGTGTCTGCGTCAGTGTCATGAGCTGGAGAGGGCGGGATTGTGACAGTTGTGCACACACTACCCACCATTTCTTTCTGGTGTTAAAAAAGAGGAAAGAAACTAGCAGCAAGCACAAAAGAGATCTGCTTGCTTTTGAAACATAGCAAGTCAGAAGGGGTCTCCTGGGCCATCCAGTCTGACACCCCTGCCCCTGGCTCCAGTCAGCTCTGCTCATGTAATACCAACATATGGTTGTCCAATCTTTCCTTGAACACCCTCACTGATGGGGCCCCCCCACCTCTCCTGGAAGCCCATTCCACATCCTAGGGACCTTAACTGTCAGGAAGTACTTCCTGAATCCAACCTGGAACCCAGTTCCTTGAGCTTTGCCCCATTGGACCACATCCTTTCCTCCACAGCTTTATCTCAGTGAAGCCGGAAATATGAACACAAAGCACCATACTGAAAACAATCCAGACTAAATCTGTGGACCCCTGAGGAAACCAAAAAAACCCAAAGCCCTATGGTATAAACATTCACTAGGTAACAGCACTTGAGGAGACCTCGAGAGACACCTCTTCAGCTCTTTTATACTAAAGCCCATTGCACTGTTTCTTCTCAGGTGTGCCTGTCTGTTGATCATCCCCAAAAGATCTTACTTTTGGGTGAGGCCATGGACTTGGGAACCTGCAAAGCCAAGAAGAAAAATGGAGGACTGTGTACACAGTTGGTTAATCTGGTACGTATGTCTCAGCTGCCACTACATTGATTTCTGGGGGCTGGTTGGAGCTCATTTGGCTGTTGAGTAGATGTTTTAGTCTTGCAACAGCAACATATAACAAGTTGCCTTATATTAAGACAGGCCACTGGTCCATCTACCCCAGTATGGTTGACACTGACTGGCAGCAGCTCTCCAGGGTTTCAGATGGGACCCTTTCTCTGCCCTACCTGGAGATGCTGGGAATTGAACCAAGGACCTTCCGCATGCAGAGCAGGTGCTCTCCTGCTGGGCTGTGGCCTGTATCCATGTGAAGATTTAGCATCTGTGTCCAATTCAGGCCAAAATACTCACTCCACCAATGGGCAAAAGTCACACACAGTCTTTGCTTATCCAAGTACTGCTATGTTTTTACTGCTCAGATCCCTTCATCCATACTTCCATTGCTCCCAATCACTTCTGCTGTGCACAAAAGCACAGAAAAACATTGAGGGTGGCAACAAGGGGAGGGCTTTCTATGCAGTGGCCCTCATCTAGGGAGCAACATCCCCACTGTGGTCCAGCTGGTGCCATCTTTCTGGTGCCAGGTTAAGATGGCCTTTTTCTCTGAGACCTTTAAAGATTTACTTGGCCACCTAGGGGCTTCAGGAAGATTACCCATCTCAACTGTTTTGCTGGGCTAGAGTCATTCTTTGCTATTGTCTGTTCCAATTGTTTTAAACTTTTATTTTTTTCTGATTATATGAAGTTTTTATTGTACTTTTATTGACTATTTTTATGGATTGTTGTAAACTGTCCAGAAAGCTCCAGCTGCAGAGTGGTATAGAAATGAAATTAATACCTCCTTTCCCATACACTTACACATGCTGTCCGTATTTCCCATATCTGCGAAATTTGCTGGTCCACCTGCCATGCTTGCTTACACATTCCTGTATTCAAGTCTGTCTCTTCACTGGTGCTGGAAATTGTAGACTGTTCCCTCCATCTCTGCATGCTTTGTTCCTTCGGTGACTCATTGAATGGGACTGCTGGAAGTGACTGGGAGTGAAGCAGGTAGTTCTAATAGTTTGTAGGTCCGCTCTTTTTTCATTGATAGGTTCCAATGGCTGAAAAAGCTGCTACAAAGGGAGTTAATTCTTAGTACAGGAGATGTTTTGGACTACCACTCCTGTAAGCCTCGGCATATCCAGTGTGCAGGGATGAGGGGAGCTGAAGCCCTAAATTCTGGAGAGCACCAGGCTGCCTGTTGTCACCGTAATATTTTAAGATGACGGGTGCACTGTGTTTGTAATAATGCCGGTGCTTGCTTGTAATCTATGATTTCTGCACAATTCCAATGCTGGCTGCAAAACAAAGAGTATCTCATTACTCATATTTCATTATGCTTTGTTCAGTATATGCCTTTCGTGGCTATGAACCTCCCCCATTTTTCCCCTTTCTTCTTCCAGCATGAATGTGAATATTGTCAGTATCATGTACAATCACAGTACCAAAAGCTGAGTTCTAAACGGGCAGATCTGCAGTCAACCTTCTCAAATACCCGGGCTCCAAAAAGAACAGCAAAGAAGAACCTCAGCTTGAAAGAAAGGCTTTGTCAGGATGGGTTTTACTATGGAGGGGTTTCTTCAGCTGCTTATGCAGCTTCTGCGTAAGAGAAATTACATATTCCATGTCCTTTCCTGGGGGTTTTCTTTCAGATGATTTCTACCAGGGCTAAGTTAAATCCACTTAAAATGGGTAGTGTGCCCTCTAGATGCTTTGGGCTACCTCCTACCAGCATAACCAATGATGAGGGATGCTTGGAGTTGTGGGCAAAATATCCTGAGGGCTGCAAGTGACCTGCCCTTAGTTTAAAAGTACAGCTATGCAGTCACTTTTAATGGGCATATTGCACTCAGTCAGATGATCATGTTCTGCTTTAACAGAGCAAATTCAAATGGAGCAAATGTGCCTTACCCAACGCAGCACCCTGTCTGGGAGTTGCAGTCCAACATATGCACAGGGCACCAGCTGGGGGAAGACTGCTGTAGAAAGACTGATTTCTCTCCTGGCACCATGATTAAACCTTAGCAGTCGGTAGAGCAATGGGAACGCATGTAAGGGCAGCATGCAGCGCATGAGGTCAACCGCAGTGACCCAGGCACAGATTTCATTGCCATTTGGGATGAAGACTGCTGTGGAGGTGGATTAAGTGCGAATTTTGTAGAAGGGGTGAGTTTATGGGAGGTTTGAGGAAAGTGAAGGAGCTCTGGGTGCTCAGATGCTTACCCACGATTGTTTAATACAGATTTGTTGCTGTTTGTCACTTTAGCTGCCCTTCTGTAATCAGACTCGGGGAGTATTCCCTTGCCACCCCTTTCTGTGCTTATTTATGTTAGTGGTGCTTTCCCCTCTCTTCAGCCAACTTATATTGGAGGAGAGTTAAGGAGAGTTGCTTATACCGGGAAAGAGACACCTAAGGCCCTCTGTTGCACTGTATAGCCCAGGATCCCTGCAGAGAATGAGAACCAATTATAAAGGATAAGTCTGGCTGAGCTTGGCTGCCTATTTTCAAGTTGCTAAGCAGTACTCTGCATCCCTTTTCCAGTGCAGCAGCTGCTGCTCCTAAGAAGAAAATCCAGACCACGCTGTCCAATTTGGTTGTGAGAGGAGCTGATGCCGTCCTCCTGGAAACAAAGCGAAAACTAGGTAATTTTCTGGCTTCTTAGATGTTCCCTTGCCATAATGTGTCTAGGTTACAGCTTTTGTGTGTTATTGATATCCTACCTTTTTCCTTTCAAGGAGTGCAAGGCAGCTTACACAATTCTTCTCCTCCTCTCAATCTTATCCTCACAACAACCCTGTGAGGTAGGTTGGGCTGAGAGTTTATGCTTGGCCTACAGTCACCCAGTGAGCTTCATTGCCAAGTGGGAACTAGAACCCAGATTGCTTGGGTACCCAGTCCAACACTTTCACCATCACACCACACTGGCTTTCTTAAATTAGCAAATAGGTCTTGGTTGGTTAAAGGGCTTGAAGAGCCGAGTGAGCATTACACTTGGGGCCCTGCTGAGGCCAGGGGCTCATTCAGTTCAGAGGGTCCCCAGATGCAGGCTTCCCACTCACCCTGGCACTCAGTCTCTGACTACTTCCTGCCAGGCTGCTCCTCCCATCACTCTTGGGCTCTTTGTGTCTTTTTTGCGTTCAGCTTTGAGCACAGGTCAGCCATGCTGTGGGAGGAACCACAGTGTGATTGGCATTTTGATTCCTCTGGATGGCCACATAGGGTCAGGGGCATGCTGGAGAAATAAACTTGCTGGGCCTGATCGCAGCTTTGCTATGCACCGTGCCCAAGGCCTTCAGAAGGTTGAAGAGAGAAAAGGCTGGTACTGCCTGGTGAGGGGATGGGGAGGGGGAGGAAAGAGCACCAGAATGGGAGAGAGAGAAAGAGAGCATATATACTAAGAGCATGTCGGGGAAGTAAGACATGGGCTGGGTATTGCTGCCCTAGAGGGGGTGTGGGGTCTTGAAAGGGCAGGCTCCCCCATCCTGGCACTGTGATTGTATGGCAGGGTGGTCTTTGTTTGGGAAGTAAGCACTTCTGCTGGTGAAAGCTACCTGAGCGTCTGTTAATAAAGCTGATTCTGCAGTCTTTTAGAAAGATTGCAAGCCCATCTTATGATCGCAATTGCCTCTTATGAAGGAACAATAACTGATATTAAGCATTACTGTTGCAATGGCAACAGTGAATCATGGTTACTGCTGGCAAAGGGAGAAGGGAAATATTGTGGAGACAGAAAAAGAATGAACACATTCCTGAGATGGGCTAAAGCAGAAAGGGTGTATGCTGTAGAGACAGGCTCCCAATTTTCAAATCATAGTTAAACCACTCCTCATTGAGCACTGTTTTTATATTGTGCTTGGATGTTGTTGTGCTGCCAGTAATACAAACTAACTTACTCAGCATGGATGACTTAAACTATCACTGTTTCATAGTACTTGTAGACTTTATTTAGCTGCCTGTGAGATTTTAGCATGCATTGCCTGACTCATTTTAAACACAGGTTCGCAGTCATAAATTTGCTTTGCATTTTTTGGGGAGGGGAGGGAGGAGAGAAAAATATGTATAAAATATTGTGAGTCTTTGAATCTTTTGCATGGTATATTTTGTTTCAGGTCTACTAAAGGAACCTTTGACATGCTCAGAAGAATTCAAAGAATTGTTATCAATGCCCTCTTTTGGAGCAAGAAACCTAAATAAGCACTTAGCTAAAGCCAGCTCATCAGGTATGTCTGAAAAGAAAATGAGATACATCAGACTCTCACTGACCAGAACTGCTTCATCTGGAACTTCATCTTTCTTTTCCCAGCATCTGCTGAAAAGCAGACTCCAGCTTTCCAGTCCATCTCGGCTTCAGCACTGCTGAAGCAACAAAAGCAGAAGATGCTGGAAGTCAGGAAAAGAAAATCTGAAGAGTTACAAAGGAGGTAACATCATTTGGATTTTTGTTTTTCTGATCTCTGGGTAGGGAACACTCTTCAAATGTCCAGGCTTCTTACATTATTGTTATATGTAAAGTTATTACAAAACCAATAAATATGAGATATCCAGATTTAGAATGTATAATGTGAAAGAAAATTACTATTGGCATATGAACGAAATAAACTCCAGAAAGCAAACAAAAGTAGAAATGAAGGTGGTGGTGGTTGTCGTCATCTGGGACTGCCTTTTACCAGGTCAGACCATTGGTCCATTTAGTGAATTATTGTATAAACTGACTGACAGTGGCCCTCCAGTGTTTCAGAAAGAAGTCTTTCCTCAGCCTAATCTGGAGATGAGATAAATTTATCGTCATGGAAAAGAAGTCCAATCAGGGTTCCTTCTGTCCCCACTTCTGCTTCCAGATGAAATAATTCCCATTTACTTCTAAAATGGTTGCTTCTCTTGATAAAGCCCAACAGTTCAGAATTCTTATGGATTTCCCACTTTTGTGGGTCTGACATTTTTTCCTCTCTAAGCAATCTCCATGTTTTTTATCAGTGACATTGTACTGGGCACCATCAGTTTCTTCCAAGTACAGAGTATCTCAGATAACCAGAAAGAAGGATCCTTAGATTTAATGATGGATTGAATCGTATAATTTCCCTTAAGTCTCCTAATTGTTACCTTGAATGTTTTTAACATGGGGGCATGACCGCCAATAAAGTCAGCATTCAGACTACCATACTTCCAATAGCCCATTCTGTTAGTGTTATCAATACTATTTAGGTTTGTCTAAATTTTTGTCCTTCACATATACCAAGCGTAAGCAGAATACAACTGACTTCATCCACTGATGCCTCTGGTTGATAGATCTCAGTGTTCTGGTAAGAAACAAAACGGATTTGGCAAGACTGAGGTCTGCTCATCCCTGTGCTAGAACATATGCTCAGATCGTGCCTCACCCCTGCATGTCTTGAAAGTGTAACCTATAGTGCAATAGGCGCTCTTCTGTAGCAGCACATGGCAAGGTCATGGTAGCCAGTCTTTCTTTCTAGGAAACCTGTCTACCATTAGCAATGTTCACATTGTAGAACCCTAATAAACTTCTGGCAGACCCCAAGTCTATCTGAACACAGTTTGAAGGCTGCTGCTATAGCAGAGAACAGGCATTTCTGTAATTTTAAACTTTCTACTGCTCCACCAATTCATTATTTTTTTCTTTTTATTGAAGGTTTCTAGAAAGTACAACTAGAGAAAATGCAGCATTAACACCACTTTCCTCAGGACTGTCTGCATTTCAGTCTCCAGTTCCAGGAGCTGAGTTTCCTAAGGCTGCAAAGCTGTCAAGTCCCCAAACTCCTAGACTTGCAGCAGGCTTCTCTGAAGGAGATGATGTCCTCTTCTTTGACAATTTGCCTACTCCAGCCCCCAAACTGAATGGCTTGGCAGAAGCTAAAAAGGTAACAGTTCCTTAAACTCTTAGTGTGATCCTATTCAGCTAGTATGTTTATCAGTGTGTGAAGGATTTAACATGAAGGACTACGGAAGTTTCTCAAACTAAAAGGCATGATCCCAGAATTTATTTATTTTTTTATAATTGATAATTTTTCCTGTTGGCTTTGACCATCTAAGTACCTTCACAAATCTGGTTCTCTCCAGATATTATGGTTGTCAACTGCTAGCAGCTGGAGCTAATGGGAGGTGTAGTTCAAAACTTCTGTAGGCGTCAGGTTGGGCAAAGCTGATCTATGCATGCAGTTTTAATAGCGGTTTTCCCAGTTTTGGATATCTTAAAGTTAAGTAATAGGATAGTAACATAAATGATACAAATAAATTTATGGTCTCTGAATTCTGCAAGTTGTATAAATTACACTAATTTCAATGTGCATAACTTCTACTTTGTCTGATTTTTAAAACATTGTTTTACCAGTTTGCTGTAATATATTATTTTATTAGTTATGGGGACAATTCAGATGCAAAAATCACAGGTTAATATATCACAGTATGTAAGACCAAGAATGAGCTTTTGGATTGCTATCCACTCTGCTTTACTTTCATGTCTGGCTGTGGTGCTTCCATGCTGTTTTTTTAAATCACAGTTTACCACTACACCTGAATTAGGAAACCATGGTTTAATTTCTGTTTATAAACCAGAACATGCAAGTAAGATCAAATCTTGGTTTTCTGGACCTGGACCTTTTATTAAAGGTTCTTAAATAGGGTCGTTTGCCATTCCTAGTAGGTAAGGAAGACTTTCCCAGCTAAATCAAATCTCATTAATTTTTCCTTCAAACCTGATTTCCCTAAATTCCAACCTACATACATAAACAGGCTTAGGAATTTCCCTAAACATCCTTAAAAATAGAAGTATAGATGCTGTATACCAGCCTTCCTTGGTCTCCAGTTATGCGATTCCCTCTAGAATGATACACATGTTTCAGGGTGCAGTTGCCAAAGTTCCCTCCTGTCAGACATAAAAGGAACCTAAACTATATTATGTGTATATCCATCTGCTTATAATATTTTCACATTGGGTGTAACTCCATGATTGAAAAATCTGCTGTTTCAAGGCTAGAGTTAAGGCTAGCTTGTACTGGTTCAGACTTCCCAGAGTCAGGGAACTGTAAAGCAAGGCTGATGCCTTAACAGACAGGTCTCACAATGTCAGAAATGGTGCTTGCTTAAAATGTTCTCTGCATGTATCTACTCTTTCCTTGGTCTTACAGACTGAAATCCTTATGGGAAGGATGCCTTGGGCCTGTATTGCCTCCCAGAGCCTTTGAAATAACTTCTGAAATAGAACTTTTGAAAAGGCATGTGACAGAGTCCATGCTAATCCATGGACCCCTCCTCCTATTACAGCATGAGACTAAAAATCTCTGTGGCTAATAATTAAGAACACATTTTTTAAAAAACTAAGGTATCATTTAAGGATAATTTCAGGAAAAGGAAAGCATGAAACAACTGAAATCAGAACTGAAGTCTCTTGCAATATGTTGAAGTAGGCAGACAGGAAGTTCAGACCTTGGTGAATGTGTGCGTCCCATCAGATATATACCCGGAGATATATATACCAGCAATTACAGTGGTTCCTTGGCTCACGAACATAATCCTTTCCACGACTCTGGTTGTAACCCAAATTGGTTGTGACCCAAGTCAAATTTCCCCAGAAGGGAAATTTCCCCATAAGGTTCAATGTAAATAAGGTCAATCCGTTATGTAACTATTTTTTTTTATCAGAAAAATCTGAAACAAAGTGACAAAGAACAACAAAGTACTGTGCAGTACAGTGGAGAACACTAACCTAGGTGTGGGGGAGATTATTGTTTTGAGGGAGTTCCCCTCCATAAGGACATTGGGGAGATCTCTTTCAGGGGTTTCCTCTCTCTGTCTCTTAGCCACAGGGTAAATTTTGGCGAAAAATCCGTTTGATGTCATTTTTTTTCCCTGCACTGCATAACCCTCCAGAAATGAGAGACCACGTTATTGTTCATCAGATTCAACGCTCTGTTCGTTCCAGTTATGCTGGGGTGGTTCTTCTCAAAGAAACCCTGGCATAGGTGCGCTCCTGCAGGAAAGACAGGCGGAATCTCGGCCATCTCCCCTCCCCCAACCAGCAAGATCGCAGCCAGCTCCCCACCACCCCCAAGTGGGGAGATGGCCAGGATTGCAGTTGTGTTTGTGCAGGGAAGACGTGCGTGATCACGGGTGTGCTCCTGCAGGAAAGACAGGCGTGGCACAGCACAGCCGTGATCACGCATGTGTTCCCTGCACGAATGCGACTGCGATTGTGGCCATCTCCCCACTTGGCCCGGTGTGGGTGGGATGGCTGCGATCTTAGTCGCCACTCAAAGTGGAGTTCGTGACCCAAGTCAAAATTTTCATGAATTTTTTGTTCATGACCCAAGGCGTTCATGAGCCAAGGTACCACTGTACTTACCTTAAAATATCCTAGCCTGCTTTTGGGTCTCTTCTTGCTCAGAACATATCAACTAAACTTCCCAGCCAGGAATTTTCCCAGAAGATAAAATGGAATTCATTTTAAGATTTTTGGGGAAAGGGGGAAGCAAAACAAAACTCAAACCCAAAGTAAAATCACTTGCAATATATAGAACTGTGCAAGCAGGAAGACACACACAAGCACGCCTATATTGGTGCATGCATGGATCAACAGTAGCATTTTTTTAAGCATTTCCTTACTTTGCAATGCTCCGGTATACCTTTTTTTAAATAGCTTATCTGCTTTGGTGACTCAGTAGAAACCTTCCTTAGAGGGAATTTTCCCGGCAGATGCTGGCAAACTAGGTAGCCATAAAAATGGCCATTTTGATTCCCCCCACAATACTGCAAGCATGGCATAATGGGGAAATCAAAAGGACTGCCACTGTTTTCCCTTCTTCAACAATCTATACCTGCAGCAGAGAGGCACAAAGGAGACGTCAACAACTGTGTGGGCTTATGGTGAATCCTATTGATGCTCATTACTTGTTAAAAAAAATTGGGTTTTTTAAAAGGAACTTGCAACAAATTGCAGCTAGCCCAATAAAAGAGGAAATCATTAGTATCTTAGCTGTTTAAAAAATTTCTTCTGCCATTGTGGGCAAAAAGGTGGCAGTATAAATTCTCAAACACAATTTTGAGAAGAGACTGTTAACTTTATTCTACATGCCACATAAAAAGTAGGGGAAATAGGGTTCCATTGTACCTTAATGGGCTCTCTTGGTGCATCCATGTTGCTCTGTCTTTTGGCTGAGGCCTTCCTCTTTGATGAGGATTATGAAGAAAATGAAGAAGAGGGAGGAAGAAGGGGAAAGATGCAATAATAATTGCAATAATTAATTCACTGCCCAGCACTTCACTCTGAACTCTCATAGTACCTTTTGCTCATCAGACAAGGTTGACTTCTGTGTATGGGTCTAACTCACAACAAATGATTTGGATGAGTCTCCTTTAGTTGACAGTGGGAATCCTAAAGTACATTTTAGGGGTTTGGCTTTTGAAAACTCCCAAGTTTGTGCATCAGGCATCATGTAGATCTGGACTGGTGAAAATGCAAATGGCAGGAGTATTTTGAGCACAGGTATCCTTTACTGTCAGTGATTATCTTTATGCTCTTTAGAAGCACTCTTACCATTGAATCAGTTTCCCAGGTAGGATCACTTGTGTTATTTCTTAAAGTCTGATCTGCATGGTGACGCATGTATAAAACATAGTTTAGGAAAAGAGAGGCAAAAGACTTTTGTCTTCAGCTCCAGTAAACTTTGCTGGTTTTCATATTAGTCTTAATCAGAGTCCTTGGCAGCCTGTCTAATGCCTTTTCTTCATGTTTTGCCTTTTTGCTTCCATTTTCAGATGGCAGCTATAAGTAAATTGCGTGCAAAAGGCCGGATCCTTTCCAAAGAGGACCCAAACACTATCAAACGGAAACGATCTGATCTTGATGTATTGGAGATTGCTGAAAGAGTTGAGAAAAATATCCCTGTTTCAGAAGGTATGGAAAGTGCAAGGCTTGGTTCTCTTTGTAAAGCTGCCTCAAGTATGTCATATCAGAACTGCTGCCAAGCTGAAGATTTCTGGCTTCAAGTCTCTGCCTGAAGCAGCAGGCACAAAATGACGCAGACAAAGCATTGTGTCCCACCCAGGCCTCTTGTGAGATGAGGGGGGCCTAGACTATATGCCTGCTCTGTTGAAATCCATGGGAATTTTCACACTGGTTTCTATATGAGCAGACGTGAGAGCAAAACTGGAATAGCGGCCTTGCCTTCAGCATTGTCATCATATCACTCTTGCCATGCTTTGTTGCCTTTTAAGCCAAGCCGAGCTCGCTTCTGTCATAACACTTTCTTTAGCGTTATTTGTTTTTCGGCGCCAGGCCAAGACCTTTTTATTTAAACGTTATTTTAATTAATTGTTAATTTATTTATGGGTTTTAATTTATTGCCTTGATGTTTCCAGTTTTTATATATTTGTATTGTTATTTATTTGTTGGAAGCCGCCCCAAGGCTTATGCGAATGGGGCGGCATACAAGAATCCCAAACAAACAAACAAACACTTTCTTTAAGGTAAGCTTCATGGCTCTAATGTAGCTGTGTGTGCACATGCATTCTCATTTTGGATTCTTTCTTCTTAATGAAGGATTTTTTGCAAACCCATTTCTAAACGCTGGCTTTGGCTGACTGGTCTCTTATTCCCTTTTCCTCTTTTCTCAGTTCTTGGCTATAGATTGGGAAATGCTGGGAATTTGCCCTAGGAGCTACTGTTAAGTTGCAGGAAAATTAAAAAGAAAAATCACTACTAATGGACCAAGTCTTTGAGAAGTGAACAGCTTTGGTAGGCTGTATAATGGTGTCTCTGCATATTGTTGAGTCTGAGTTAGACCATCAGTTAGACCATCAGATCAGACCAAAGGTCAGTCTACTCTAGGTAAATCCTTATCTCCAGAAATGACCAGGCTAATGACCAAGCAAATGACAAGTAAGAAGGTAGAAGAGCTCAGGTTTAATGAAATGCATTAACTTTCCCCTGCTGTTGCAGACTATACGTTGGAGTTGATGGCTAAGAATGTCTGCGTTTCTCTTCGTTTCTGTAGACACTGAAGCTGCTGAACCTGCAGAAAAGAAGCGGCGCCAACAGCTTGCATATTTGGAGTCTGATGAATTTCAAGAGATCTTGAGTGCAAGATCCAAACATACAGGTATCCTTAAAGAAGTAAGTATCAGCTACCCATAGGAGGACTCGAGTTATTCAAGATGGCTGAAAATACTGGAACTTGAATTTTTGATAGCAAGAAATGGAGACATTACAAATCTTTAGCTCTTTTTAAACTAACTGATTAGAAAGTGCAAGCTTTGCAGTGCAATTGGACTGCAACTACATTTTGCAGTATAATTAGAATGGCTAGTTAGAATTGTCTTTACAAATACTGGGATGCAGGTGAAGGAGGAGTGGACCAAATGACATTCAGGTTGCCTGCTTAACTGTTGCAATAGAGATTACTTTCCTTGGAGACACTTAAATCTTTTTTTTTTTTTTTATCTCTTGTTTCTGGGCATCTGGCACCCAGCTATGCCCGTAACTTCCATAAAGTTGCAGTCCAACACCCCTGGAGGGCACCGGTTTGGGGAAGGCCTTTGTAGGTGCATATGATGTGATGTGCATATGATGCATTTTCTAGGAGTGGGAAATAGAGACATTTCCACACTCTTAGAAAAGTAGGATTTCCATTTTCTAATGCAGGAAAGAGACATCTGGCTCTTTGCTAGCTCCTGGCTCCCCACCTGTCAGAAGCAGGGAATGATGCTGGTGGGAGGAGTTGAAATAACATCAGTGGCAGCAAGACTTGATATTGAAACGCAGAGGTAGAATCCAAGCTGGCCAGCACCTTCCCAGCTTTTCAAGTGGACTGTTGAAAAAACTGTCCCAAGAAGAGCCCAGCTGCAGAAAAAAAATGTTTTACTAACTAGGGCCAAAAGGAGGTTTTTGTTAGTTTGCAAAATAATTGTGAAATTTTATCTCAGTTATCAGACATTCACCTTGATTGCTGATGTTTAGGGTGAAATAGGCGTCCTTTTTAGAACAAAAAGCAAGTTTGAATAATTTTAATATTCCAAATATATGCTTTTCATCTCAGACAATTGAACTTTGTATGATCTTTCTGCTGGTTCAATAGATGGCACTCTTCTCTTATTTTGAGTCAACACTGACTGGATTGATTGGCCTTGCACATTTTGAAAACACCTGTAGCTATAGTCCTGATACGTTGGATTCTGACAATCAAAAGCTTTTCTTTTAAAATGTCATTGACCCAGCTATCTAAATCCACAAAGTTGCCCAGATAGCTTTCTACCTTTTTTACACATGCTTATTAAGAACTTGATTAGTTAGTGAATATTCTGTGCAATTGAGCCATGCCTGAGTAGTGATTCAAAGCCAGAGGGTTGTTCAGATAATACCATGGGGAGTCCCATGTTGTCCTGCCTCTGCCATCTGTGCATGCAAGCCAAAACTGCACCATCAGTTCCAGGACTGCACATCAGTTCCATAGTCCCAAATCCTATATGTCATTCCTGTGTGGATGCAGGAAGGTGGGAAAGGCTGGGATAGTGCACCATACTGGAGTGAGTGTTAGTGCGTGCATGTCCCCTCCATACAACGCTTGGGTCAGCATCATCAGAACCTTCCTGTAGACTCCAAGACTCAAGGAGCAATTGCATTAGGAAGCTAGACTGTTGGTCCAAAACAAGCAAAACCAAGCAACCCTAACTCTGCCAGAGAATCACAAATCTGGAGGCACAGTGGGATCAGTTGCAAGCAAATGTGCAGACTGCATGATGCTACAAGTGCAAACACACTTGTTTCCGGCGTTTCCTGATACTTAAGGAAACACAGGAAACGGACTGGAGCCAAAGGAGCAGGGGATAGAGAAGCTACTTGGGCAGGTATGGGGATAGCATTAAGAATTAAAGGTTCAAGGAGCAGCACTGTCTAGGACACTTTGGAGGGTACGGAAGCTGCTCCCACTTGCATCTGTAAGTTTCTGGGGCAGTGCTTAGCTGTAGTCCAAAAGGCATCTTCAGTGTGACAATTACATGGTCCTAGGTTTGCATATTGCTTGTACAGCTTTCCTACTCAAGGTCCACTCAGGATGCCACCTCTGATGCAGATGTTACTGCAAATCAGCTTGGCTACATTGCTTCTGTCTTGTTCAAAGCCACCTGCAGTTTTCAAAAAGTTGGTGTGAGTTTGGTAGTTTCTCTGCAGCCATGAGCATTAGCATTAGAATATTAGAAACAAGACAACAAAAACCCTGAACTTTTACTCAAGCCTGCCTCTGCAACTTCTTTCTGGGCTGCAATAAATTCATGTGAATTCCAACATAACAGCTGATCTTTACTTTTATGGCAAGGATTCTTGATTCCTGTTGCAGTTGTGCTTCTGGGTTCATCCCTAAGAAAGGGGCATAGTGTAGATCAGGCATGGGCAGACTAGCTCAAGGGAAAAGTCACATTCAGTAAACATTTGAGAGCGGCAAGATATGAACAAATATCTATTGTTATTATTTATTATGACATTGCTACAATTACCAGACTAGTTACTGCTAGCAGAGGTGTTGTGAGTCTCTATCTTGGCTGTGAGTCATTGAAATTCAGGCTAATATATTGTCAAGACTGTACAAATTAGCTCTGTTGAAGTCACATGACTGAAGTACCACAATTGGTTATCCCAGCAGGCTGGTCCGGCTGCTCAGAAAAGAAGTTGAGTCAGACTTTTTTTTGGCTCTTTTCATGTGTCATTTGGGCTGCTCAGATTAGAAGTTGTATCAGGCTTTTTCGTCCCCTCTGCGAGCCACAAAATAAACTCAAAGGGCCACATGCAGCTCGTGAGCCTCCAGTTGGCCAGCCCTGGCATAGATAATTTCCTGATCATGTCAGATAACACCAGCATTCCCATGAGGATCACAAGTTGTACTGCAATCGTTGTTTGTTGTTGTTATTTTTCTGTTGTTAAGCAGATTTTAGCAAGGGGCTATTATAGGCTTGTGTGAACACTGAGCTTAAAATCATTTTTTAAAAATACCACAGTATGCATGGATATTGTATTACACTTGTCATCTTTTTTGACAAGGAATCATTTGAGATGAATTGCTTATAGCTTCTGAATGTTTCTCCCTATTTCAGAGATGAGCAGTTAAACAAAAAACAAAGTTCTGTATTCTGTTAAATCCACATTTAACACAAATCATGCTGCTGTGTCTCAGCTGTTTGCACTCCTAGATTAAAATGTCATTTTTCTCTCTTCCAGTTTGAGGCTGAGTTGCAGGAACGCTATTTTGATCCCTTAGTGAAAAAGGAGCAAATGGAAGAGAAGATGAGGAGTATCCGAGAACTGAAATGTCGTGTTGCGACTTGTAAAACAGTGAGTGAAGCAGCTGCTTGAGTCTTGCCTGTCGTGTGGCTTGAATAGTGCTGAGATGACAGCTTGCTTTGATCTTCAGCAGCTTGTACCAGTCAATTCTGGACCATTTTTACACAGAACACACAGAATCCATATGGCACTCTTATCTAGATACCAGATATGCATAGCAAGAGTTAAAGCAGGGGTGCTGAAATTCTTTGAGCCCCGGGGCTGAATTCCATTTTGAAGAAACACTTGTTGGGAGACGGGGAGAGTGCATTCCAGTGGTGGGCAGGCCCAAAGGCAAAGCGGGTGGAGCTAAAGTACTAGAAGTAAAAGCATGTTTTAGTTTTTCCTACCAATCCTAGGTCAGGGACCTTGCCAGACAGGTGGCTTCCTTCATAACATGCAAGAGGTCCTATTCCCTGCTTAGACTCATAACATGGGTGACGGTCTCATGGGCACATTCCCTGCTCTCAGAAGCCCTCACTGGATCCAGAAACCTCCAGGAAGCCCTAAATAATCTAGCTAGAGCTGCTGGATTCATGGCAGAAGGTTCTGTGGCCTCTTCCAGTTGGCAACTTTGTCCATGTGGTGTACCGTGGGTTCTGGCTGAAACACTGCAGGACTGCATCGAAACAAAAATAAACTTGACCATCATTCGCTTCTTGTAGGTGGGGATCGTTTTGGAAAGCCATCATTCCCACGCTAATAGAAAACAATCCAAAGGACACAGTCCATCCAGCGAGTCATAAAAAAGAGGAGCCTAGAGAGATGAAGTCATAGCACTCCTTTTGTCCCGGGGCCTTGTATTCTACCTTTCAGCCCAAAGCCATTTCCAGTCTCAATGGTGAGGCTGCTGTCAGTCAAACCAAGGAGGAAAGCAACTAGGAAAGCAGCCCTGAGCGCGATGCCAGTCACCTTGGTTGGCGTAGCACCTGTGGGATTCTTGGCACAAATGGGATTTCATTTGTTCAGATGGATGGGTTCTGGAGATGAACCATCTCAGCCATGCTTTCAAATCCTGAACTGTTCCAGGATTGTTTGTATCCTCTCTAGTGTCCAAGTATCAGAAAAACACCTTCTTTTCAGCCGTAGAACATATATTTGATACGAGAACAGTGTGACCTATCTGGACAGGTCACATTTATGCCCCCCTCCCATAGGGTTGAATCAGAAAAAACCTTTCCGCTTCAACCTATTACAGTGTGGTGGCAGGGGCACAGCACAAAAGCTGGGAAAGCAAAGGCCTAGGGAAGGCGGCTTAGCCTTCTGGGGAACCCCCAGAGGGACCAATTTGATCACCAGGTCCAAAGTTGCTCACCCAGAGTTACAGGTACCACTGCACTTCTGAAGGATTGTGGCAAAAACAAATAAAGCTTCAAAATGATTCAGCTGTGATGCTTGATGAATGCTAGAGACCGAACTCGGCTTCCCAAGCAAAAAGAACAAGTAACTTCCCTCTGAGGCATATGATGACACGCCCTGAGTTTTGAAGCTAGCCAAGTTGCCTTTTGAAAAGTTCTGTCATGTTTGAAAAATAGTAGCACTTGAAGGCTGAGTGCATGCAGAAACAGGTAGTGCCTTGGCTATGGACCTGGCAATGCATTCCTCTTGTGGGAGGGGAAATATTCTTGCTGAATGTGGCAACTCGATTGCTGATGAGAAAATCATACAGAAACCATGGGGCACCAGTGTTAAAGAAAGGGTAGTCACGGTCAGTATGCAGCTATTCTGTGTTCAAGTTGCGAGTATTGACAATCAGGTGCAGCAACTTAGACCCAGGGACCAAATCCAGTCCTCCAGGGGTCCTAGCATGGCCTTCTGGAGTTCTCTAGATGGCCATGGCTTTTCTCTTAATGCTTTTGCCTTCAGACCCACTCACCACTGGACTGCAGCTCCCCAAAGCTTTGCTGAAATGGAATTTGGATCTTGGGCTGCAAGAAGTTCTGATTCCTTCCCTGAATGGCTTGTGGTCGAGGTATTGGAGGGAGTGCCTCCTCCTGTATACACATTCTTACATCAAGAATGCTGGTGGGGATCTTGGGGATGTTTCATTATGCAGAGAGGGGATGCAGTTTGGCTGTGCTGCCCCCCTTACAGAATGCCCCTCCCTCAGAGGCCCTGTGAGTGGAAAAACTGGCTTCACTTTGGTGCGGAGTCAAGACCTGGCTGTTCATTGAAGCTCTGGGGTCTTAGTGACCGTACTTTGGTATGTCTTGCCATTACTGTTTTTACACTCATTGTTGGGTTTTACTATATTTTGATTTTAAGTCAAATCGCTTCTGTTGATCGTATACTGGCCTGAAAACTTTTGACAGAAGGTGGATTAGAAATATTTTAATTTATGAAACATGAGTACATACCTTGGTTTGTAACCCTACATGTGTGCCAGCTTGTCTTCCAAAAAAACCCAAAATATTCACAGCCAGAGCCCAATTATAGAATTGGCTAAAATTCCTTATTGAAGTCCTATGGAATACATTGGGAACAAATCAGTTTCAACTTGAAGCTTACCTTTCCATCAAGTAACTCAGGTCAGCCTATCCAGGGGCTTATTCCATTTTACCATTGCAGGAGCCCCCATGAGGCAGACTAGGTTGAGGGACAGCAAGGTGTTCCATGGCCTGATCTTCCCAGTCAGATCCAGCATGCTACCTATTAATTTATGCCACAGTTTGTCTTTGCTATACCGGGAGCTTGTGATTCTGATATGTCATACTGAATGCCCATTTGTATTGAAGCATTGCATGAGTTTCAACCATTAAAATTCATGAACTTATTCTGCTCAGCCTCGATGCAGAAGTCTGTTGCATGTTCTCCCATGTTACACTAAAAGGGCAAAATGTGGTGATGAAAGAGTGAACCCCTTCTGTTTCTTTTCCCTCTCTGCTTATGCTAAAGTGTAAGTACACTTATTTCAAACTACTGGATTCATGTGCGGAGCAAAAGCACGACTATCACTGGCATGATGGCATAAAGCGATTTTTCAAGTGTCCATGTGGGAACAGAGCTATATCGCTTGACAAGCTTCCGAAAAAACATTGCAGGTAGGAAAAATGGGGTATGTGCGTGGGCAGGGAGAGGAGGGTTCAGTCAAACTGAGATTTGCGCATTCCCTGAAACTTACTACATTTATATGTTGTAGTTGGCGCCACCTTTCCATCAAAAAAGGCTTTGGCCAGACCTTTGCATGCTAGCCTTGGGCCAATGCACAGGCTGCTTCCTTGCTGACTGGGGAGCAACTTTGCCTTTGTCCCATCTCAGCAGGAGTCAGTTTTTGCCCTGATTCCTGAAAGTCTGATTGTTTTGTTGTAGGTACTGCAAATGAATGAGCGAATGAATGAATTTGTGACATGTATAAGTATAAGCAAGGTGACTCATTCCCAGATTTAGAACAGCACATTGGTTGAACCTGCATTAGAGGACATCTTGTGGGAAGCTGCCCTTCATGTTCAGCAGGGTGGGTGATACTGTGTGGTGCCCAAAATGTTGAGGAGGGAGCTGGTGTAAAGAAAGAGGGGGTTACAAGGTGACTAGACCAGTGCTCCCTCACTCCAGCATCACTGCTCATTGTTGACTAGTTGGAGCAGAATTGGATTTAAGTGTCAAGGATGTACAGTATATCACAGAAGTGAATACACTCCCCACATTTTGTAAATATTTTTTTGTATCTTTTCATGTGACAACCCTGAAGAAATGACACTTTGCTACAATGTAAAGTTATACAGCTTGTATAACAGTGTAAATTTGCTGTTCCCTCAAAATAACACACAGCCATTAATGTCTAAACCACTGGCAACAAAAGTGAGTACACCCCTAAGTGAAACTGTCCAAATTGGGCCCAAAGTGTCAATATTTTGTGTGGCCACCATTATTTTCCAGCACTGCCTTAACCCTCTTGGGCATGGAGTTCACCAGAGCTTCACAGGTTGCCACTGGAGTCCTCCTTCACTCCTCCATGATGACATCATGGAGCTGGTGGATGTTAGAGACCTTGCGCTCCTCCACCTTCCATTTCAGGATGCCCCACAGATGCTCGATAGAGTTGAGGTCTGGAGACATGCTTGGCCAGTCCATCACCTTTACCCTCAGCTTCTTTAGCAAGGCAGTGTTCGTCTAGGAGGTGTGTTTGGGTTCGTTATCATGTTGGAATACTGCCCTGCAGCCCAGTCTCCGAAGGGAGGGGATCATGCTCTGCTTCAGTATGTCACAGTACATGTTGGCATTCATGGTTCCCTCAATGAACTGTAGCTCCCCAGTGCCGGCAGCACTCATGCAGCCCCAGACCATGACACTCCCACCACCATGCTTTAGTGTAGGCAAGACACACTTGTCTTTGTACTCCTCACCTGGTTGTCACCACACACGCTTGACACCATCTGCACTAAATAAGTTTATCTTGGTCTCATCAGACCACAGGACATAGTTCCACTAATCCATGTCCTTAGTCTGCTTGTCTTCAGCAAACTGTTTTCAGGCTTTCTTGTGCATCATCTTTAGAAGAGGCTTCCTTTTGGGACGACAGCCCTGCAGACCAATTTGATGCAGCGTGTGGCATATGGTCTGAGCACTGACAGGCTGACCCACCACCCTTTCCACCTCTGCAGCAATGCTGGCAGCACTCATACGTCTATTTCCCAAAGCCAACCTCTGGATATGACTCTGAGCACGTGTACTCAACTTCTTTGGTCGACCATGGCAAGGCCTGTTCTGAGTGGAACCTGTCCTGTTAAACCGCTGTATGGTCTTGGCCACTGTGCTGCAGCTCAGTTTCAGGGTCTTGGCAATCTTCCTATAGCCTAGGCCATCTTTATGTAGAGCAACAATTCTTTTTTTCAGATCCTCAGAGAGTTCTTTGCCATGAGATGCCATGTTGAACTTCCAGTGACCAGTATGAGAGAATGAGTGATAACACCAAATTTAACACACCTGCTCCCCATTCACACCTGAGACCTTGTAACACTAACGAGTCACATGACACCGGGGAGGGAAAATGGCTAATAATGCCCAATTTGGAGAGTTTCTAGGGGTGTATTCACTTTTGTTGCCAGCAGTTTAGACATTAATGGCTGTGTGTTGCGTTATTTTGAGGGGACAGCAAATTTACACTGTTATACAAGCTGTATACTCACTACTTTACATTGTAGCAAAGTGTCATTTCTTCAGGGTTGTCACATGAAAAGTTATAATAAAATATTTACAAAATGTGAGGGGTGTAGTCACTTCTGTGATACATTGTATATTTCATTGAGTAGGAGTAGGATCGAGGGATTTTTCTTCAAAATAAACTGTTGCAGAATAACTACCAACAGAAACCAAAATAATCCTAATTTTTTTGTCTCCCTCTTCCAGCCATTGTGGACTCTTTAAATGGGAGCGTGATGGAATGCTCAAGGTAAGAGGAAATCCAAAGGTATTTATCAGTTGAATTGTCCTGCTTTGGCAGGTGCCATTAGCACCAAAGATGAATTTCTGCTTTCAGAAAATCCAGATGACATTATCTGGAGTTTATGCCTTAGAGATGATTGACAATTGAAGACTGAAACTCAAAGGCGCAAAATGTTGAGAGATGAACTGATTTGTTGACCAAATGACAATTCCATAGTCAGCATATGAATGAGAAACTGCTGCTGTTTGTTTAATTTATATCCCACTTTGCCCCTGAGGTTCTGACCTGTATATTGAACATTTTACACCAAAGTAGCAATTTGGGAGGTATTGGGAGTATTTGAGGTATGGGGAGTATTTAGAAGAAAATACATTACTTGGTTTGGGACCATAGTACCTGACACGACACCTATCCTGACCTCAGTCTGCCCAGACCCTGCAATCAGCATCTGGGGCTTCCTCCAACTGCCACCTCCAAGGGAAGCCCCAAAAGAGAGGGCTTTTCAGTGGTGCACCTCCTCAATTGTGGAATGGCCCACCTGCCACCAACTTTGTCATCTTTTCAGCATCAGGTTAAAATTGTCTTGAATTCCAAGGCATTTAATAGCATATGATGGGTTATAATCTCGCAGATGTTATAATCTTGTAATGGCCATTGGTCCAGCTGGGACTAGAACACACTTTGCTTAACTTCTGTAGACTCAGCATGACTGACTCAATGAGGTCTGTCTCTGAGGGAGGGGGAAAGAAGCACTCTGCAGCTGTGTGTGCATGCGTGCATGTGTGTATGTACGTACATACAAGCTGGTTTGCCCTCATGCAGCTGAATTTAGATAGTAGGGTGGAGGGAACTACTAGGTTGAGGTTTTCTTATTTCAAATAAAGCCACTTCCTTTTTGGGGGGAAGAGGGGCTTTTAAAACTGCTTTTTAATCATCATTTCCTAGTTATTTACTGTACATTGTCTTTGTTAGTTTATAAGTGCAATCAAATAGGAGGCCCTCCTCTGTGCCTCGTTGAAATGAATGGGCTTGCACAGGTAAACCTCCTGGTGATTATGCCCAAAGTTGCTTAAATCAACTGTGATGGCTGAGTGTCCCATGCATGGTTTCCTAATAGTCTTTCTTCCAATAATCAAAGCAAGGCTTCATTGTAAACATCTCTGTTCTAGGAAAAGAAAGGTCCCAAGATTGGTGCAGAGACTCTTTTACCCAGAGGGGAAGAACAAGCCAAATTCCTCAACAGCATGAAATAATTGTAGAAAATGATTTCTCTTCTCTGCATTGCCTTTTTAATTCATCTTGTGTCTGGTAAAGCTCTACCTTTCAAAATGGAGAACAAGTCTTGTCTTTATCAAAAAATAAAAGAATTAACCTTTATCATCTAACCACCCTTCCTCCGGAAATACAGAATAACCCTCTGCTTTGAGCCTTCTTTCTTTGATTTGAAATGTTCAATATGCAAACCTTATGAATTTTGAAGAGGAGCCAATTTTCTTTCGCTGTAAATGGTATATTTACCAAGAATTTTGAAGATAATTCCTTGGAACTGCCATGTAATGACAGTCTTCTCCTGACAGTTCCTGTACACGTGACTGTAGCCAACAAGTATTTGGCTGTAGCATCTGAAACTACCTCAGGAGTGCTATGAGAAATATTTATCAAGGTACCAAATCTAGAGAGCAAGGCTTTGCAATACCTGAAATACGATACTTTTCAGATTTCCATTCAAGATCATTTTTGTTTTCCAACACCAGCAGCCAAATATGTGACTGTTGTACCTCACTTTGCTAATGTGCTGGCTATGCAATGTATTTTACCAAATCTTGATCTAGATTAACACTGTCTTGAGTTTTTAATCCTTCTATTAGACAGAAAATAAGTATTTTTTATTTTAGTAAAGCAAAATATTTTCTGTTGTCTTTATTAAAAAAAACCCCCTCTTAAAAAAATCTTTAACGTTTGTGTCATGCCTGGTTACTTTTATTGGTAGTTTAGAAGGTACATAGTATTTTAGATAAGGAATTAAAGCATTGGGGTTTTTTTTGCAAAATGTTAGGAAAAAGTGTATTTCTCTCCAAAGATTTGTTTCATTGGAAATTACATTTTTATTAAATTCAGCAAAATCATTGGGATCTCAAAATTGGCCAAAGTTGTGTGAAATAGAATGAAAAGTTCATAAAGTAAATGTTCTGAACAACGCTCTAAGTTGGCTCTTTGGCCTTACCTTATGTCAAAAATTGGATCAGTAACTTGAACTGTGCATCTGTAAAGTTCATACTCATGGATATTTCACCAATTATTACCTTTCAGTTTTCCCACATGTACCATATGTACCAAAACTGATTTTTTAGCTAATCAGTTGACCATACAACTAGGCTTGTGGTTACTAGAATGTCTTGAGGAATGTAAATATCTAACTATGGTGCTGTGATTAAAATGTTTACCAGTCTGATATGAAAGCTGCTGTATTTGCTGTGTAGTAAATGTTACTATGGGCCTAAGGAGGCCAGCATATGCTGTTAAAACAAATGCTAATAAATTTCACTCGAAGGCAAGGTGCTATTATTCCCCACTCTTTCCAGTTGTATTGGAAGTTGTGAAGATGGCAAGATGACTTATTCTTCCCAAGTACCGTAACCAACTGCTGGTTCAGAATTTCTTCTTTTAAACTCCAGCCCATCATTGTTCTTCTGAAGTTTTAATTGTTCAAGAACTTAAAAACTTCAACTTAGGAAATTGGAGTTGGGACAGACCTGGCTCTAGCAAAAGTAAAGGGATAAAAGAGGGTTCCACCTTTAATGTCAACATAAAAATACTTTCAAAGTATTTTTATACTTTTATACTTTAAAAGAATAATAGGAAAAGGACTGGGAAAAGGAAACAGAACCACCATGGGCAATTTGTGGTTCTCAAGATATTTTAGCCTACAGCTCTCATCAGCCTACCATAGTGATGATGAGAGATGATGGGTGTTATAGGTCAAGCATCCAGACAGCCACAAGTTGCCTACCCTGGTAACTGAAGTGAAAGTAAGTGTATTCCCTGTTCAAAGATGATGCACGTGTCTCTGAATGCTTTCTTTCAGGATGTGCCTTCTTCAGTCCTGTTGTTTACAGATCATGTAGACAATGCTATTGGGTTCCCCAAGTGTTTTGGACCTATGAGTGCATTTGGGAATTTGAAAAACTGCTGTGGCATCCACCACAAAATGCCTGTTGAATTGATTAGGCTGTGTATTATTCAGCAAAAACACAGTATCACCACAATATCTCTTTATTAAGGGATTGTCCAATTCAGTTAATTTCTGGTGCTACGATGTAGCTAATGCTTTGTTTAACTATATGTATTAGCAGCAGTAGTTACTTCCTTTTGGGAGGATGTTACACAGGTATATTTTAGACTGGAACACAGATGTTCACACACTTAAATTATTTGCCTGATTCATGGAAATTAACAACTGAAAGAGAAAATGGATTTTCTCCACCCTTTTGACAGATGAAAGACTGATATTAGAAAATTGGAGCAATAAACACTTACCTCCCATAATGTAGTGGCTTGAAGACCTTACAGTGCTTTTGCTATATGAACTGGTATCATATAGCCCCATATGGTTCGCTTTTGTTGAAGCCTATGTATAACTGTTATGACGTTCTATGCATTCCACACAAATCTGTCTATACGTAATTAAAAAGAAAAATGAAAAAAAAATGCTGCTGACCACTTCGGATACCACCCTCCCTGGAGGTAACTGCAAGTGCTGTGTTGGGGGTCCTACCTAAACAGGTGTGCTGAGACCAATGAAGGTATTGTTAAGGAAGGGGCTTCCTCTACACCCAGCTTCATCTCGCAGCGAGACGCCACCTGTGCAACTTCTGCCCTGTGTCCCTTCACTGGACTACAGCAGTTCGATACACAGAGCTGTAAGGTACAGGGAAGAAGACGGGCCTCTACAATGCTCATCCAATTTTAAAAGCCAGGATTAGCACCAGAAAATCACACAACAGCTATTTTAGTCATGAACTTTGAGTATTAAATATTGTCAATTGGTTCTGGTTTTCTTCTGGTAGTTACAGTTGCTGAGAGGTATCACTGCCAAGGGCTATGTGTTTAAGGGGCAGAAATAAAGATCATGGGAAAAGGACTGTCTACAGGGAAATACCAATGGAGAGGAGAGAATGGGAGGAGGAGAAGTGGGAAAAGAGCTTTTAAGAACTCTGTTCATGAATAATATAAAGGGCGTTGAAATGTCTGTTGCAGCATTTCATTCAGACCATTAAGATAAACATGTCTGGAATTAAATGCAGTATGTTAAAAATGTGCTTTGTAAGAGGCTTCCTTGTTGGAAAAAGCAGCCAGCCATCTGGTAATGGAATTCCTTGGTAAGAAATGTTTACTTATCAGATGGTTTATTTTCTGGACACCAACTGCCAAGCACCCATATCGAAAGCAAACATGAATTCTCTAGTTTCAATAACAAGTGTATGTCTAATCAAACTTTGTGTTAGTTCAATGCTTTACAATGTCATTCAGAACACTGAATTTCTGCCCATTGTTCTGGGAACACTTAACAGTATTAATTTTCACATTCTTGTGCTGTCTCATGAGCTGTTAAAGTAAAAAACCAACTTATGAAAATGTAGCACATACTTTGAAAGCCTCTAAAAGCATCTGCATGTTTTTAAAAAGCAAAGATGTATGAAAAGTACAGCCATAACAGTGTTGATTTCTAACTGAAGAGTCACCCTTGAGAGTCTAGTCATTGGAGCATTCATAATGGAGAACATTTCCATCCCAATGAATAGGCCCTAACAGGGTGTGCATTGCTAGCACTGTTGTTGATTCATGTCAATGAGATGTCTGGTAAAAAAGCCATCCTTGTGCTGGTGACCTACACATGATTTTGTCAGCAACTTGTTCCACTAGAATCAGTTCCTTTAGCTAAGTCTTCCCTTATAAATGAATGAAATGCTGCCGTGTAATGCTTCCTTGGAATGCTACCACTGTTTTGAAGTAAACTGTTGCTTTGCAGAGATTGCTGACCCAAGAAGGATGGGTCAACCATGAGCCTTCACTACAAGTTATGAATTTGCACAATATTATAAGGCTAGAGGAGTTGGTTGTAATTTTGGAATACCAAGAAACTCTAAAATGCAAAGGAAATGGCCAATAAGCTCTTCAAAGCCATGGAATATGGGATTTCAGTGCCTTGTATAGCTGTTCATATAACACAGCCCACCCATTGCTAGCTAAAGCAGAATAATGATGAACTGGATTAAACAAATTTGCTTACATATCTTTAGGTGGCATTTTATAAAGATACTGCTTTTTAACTTTTTTCTTTATGGAGAATTTTGATGCTACTTTTACAGAATTTTGAAATTTTGGAACTTTTTTGCCTTTGGGGCCAAAGTCATTGGTTACTGGATGCTGTGGAGTCATGAGCAGTATATTTTTGACTTGAGAATTTGGTTCTCAGGGAATACTTAAGGATTCTCTGGCCAGGAGTATGTGCTCTCTCTTACTCAGGAGTAACCAGGGAGGATGCCCTACGCAAATGTCTGCTGTGTTTTGCATACATCACAATCTAATTTAGGTCTACTTCTTGCTGAGATGGTAACACACATCTTTCCATGATGAAATGAACCTATATGCAAAGAAATACTTGCATATAGTAAATTAGCATGTCAGGAAGGAAAAATAAGCAACAACCCTTCTTGATGAAATATAGTTTTCTGTGTAGAGAGAATGTTTGGTATGTGAGGAATTTGGTCCCAGACTGAGTCATTTTAAATGCTTGTTTTAATTTCTAACTAATTTTGTCAATAATACATCAGGTGCAAAACCAAAGATGTGTCTATTTTTTTTCACTTATTTGTAGATGCATGGTTTCAAATATGCTTGTTTCCTAATTATGATGAAGTAACCAAGGAAAAAGAGGCTGAAATACCTTTAATAAACACATGTATTTTAAAAAGAAAAATATGCCGTATATTCTAAAATACTTTGACTACTCCAGATACAGCACAAGCTGGCTTTTGTTCTCAGTGCCCATCTCAGGATATAGTGCTCATTTTAGAATAAAGCTTACCCGTTTGCTCTAAGTGGAGCATTTTGCATCTATATATATATACTCTAAGTATATGCAGGTGTGAATGAACTGATGCCTTCTGCATTACCTTGGCCTGTGAAACAAAACCCAGAAGCTTCTACATATTAAAGTACCAGAATGCAAAGCAAAACAGCAACCTACAAGCAAATGGTGATATAAGAAGGGCTGAGGAATTGGGTTCAATAGGGAGGGATACTGCTTTCTGATAGGCCTGCTACTAACAGTTATTTCCCATTTTTAATTACTTTGAGCAGTCCACTCTTGTTCTAGACAGTGTGCCGATTATATAGATATGATGGGTAGAGGCCGTCATAATGGTACTGACGCCATTGCTCAATCTGTTCCCGGCTTCTCTCATCCTGCTCTGTAGAGGGAAGAAATTTGTTAAAGCGCTTTCAAAAATTAATAATGAACAAGCCATATGCTTCTACTTTACTGATGGTAGCAAACCCATTGGCAAGCACCACAGGCAAAATGAAAACATGCGGACAAAGCCATTTTTGAAAGCCTTTGCAAAATGGCATGCATCAGAGGTACTAGTTAGGTAGCTTAGATGGTCAATCCAGTTTAGGCTCTGGTTTAAATGCTTCAGCTAAGTACTAGTTCATACTTACAAACAACCTCTTTGTAGAGCAGGGATTCAGAATTTTTAGGGCCAGGGGCCAAAACTAGTATTCCTGGGCACCCAAATTGATCTTCCAGGATTTATCCAGAGAGCTATAACCCTGGCACTACGTTATTTCCTGAACTGCCAATTGTTTGGTGATGCCCTGGCTTTTGTGCATTTTGTCTCCATTTCAAAAGGTTGAAAGGCCTCTTCTAAAGCTTAGATGCTAGCAGTAACAGCTTTAAACTAAAATAAAGTTGTGTCTTGTGTATTTTGGCCCCTTCCCTTTTTCTTCAGCCCCCTTCCCTTATGGAAATGTGGCTACCAAAAGTTGCTTTGAAATTAAATTTGGCCTAGAGTTTATGTTGTAAGCCGTCCAGAGACACAAGTAATTGGATGGCATATAAATTTTAGAGAGAGAGAGAGAGAAAGAGAGAGAGAGAGTCGGCAGAGATTCTGCACTTCTGTTGAATAGCACTCCACAGTCCAAGTAATTTGCAAGCTGATCTGACTATATTACTGGTGTTGAAAAACACAAGTACACCAGGTTAAAAAAAAAGTGCCACTCACATTACTTCTGCCATGTGGTGGGAGCTACAAGATCTCTTGTCCAGTAGATGCTTGACAATGTGAAGCAGGATTCAGTCTTGATAGGAAAGGGTGCTGGGACTTTTAAAAAATGTTACTAAAACCAGAATTCCCATGCTCTTTCAGGGGCAAGCATATCAAACCAATCTGTATTCATTGGGGTATTTTCAATGTAACACTGGTGGAAAAGGTATAAGAGATAGCAAAGGTATAATAGAAGCTACTATTGCTTCTGCAAATGCTAACAGAATAAGTGGCACCTTAAGTAATGAATTTTTAATGACCCATGAAAACACTTGTGCAATGACTTGAATAAGTGAAACCAAAGTCTGACATTTGTGTAAGGACAGGAATAGTTTTTGCATATAGTAGAAGCTTTGCACTAGCCAAATGACATCACTAGGTATATTACAGTGAATTTATGCTTGTGTATGCATGTATTATATACATACATATATCCATTCATATATTCATTCTTCATATGGATTCTGATTTCAGAAACTGTTTTTGACATAACTATTTTTAATGACAAAAATATCCATTGCAGGAAAAGGTTCTGGCAGAACTATTTGGATTTTCTTGTCCCAGCTTTCATGACACATCAGACTGATAGGCTTCATGCAAACAGCATTATCCATTCTGGGCAGTACTGACCATTTCAGAGAATAATATTGGCCTGAAAATCCCCTCCCACTCCCTCCTGCCTAGCATGGATGTGGTAGAAAATGATGTAGCTGTCTTTTCCTAGATGGAAAAAGTACTAGGAAGAACACTTGTTTGTGGTTGAAAAGAGCAAATAAAACACAATTCAACTAACCCTTCTTACGGATTTTGTTACTCTCAGCAATTCAGAGCCCGTTCAATATCAAACCAATGCCTAGGTGCTTAATTAGTAGTCCTTGAGCTCAAAACTAGCCAGATTTCTGATCTAGAAGCAAAAGAACTATGCATAAGGTTGCATACTTTCTAACATCCAAGGATACTTTTGACTTTTCAGATCGTAGCCTCTGACATGTTGTGTTAGCTTGCTGAATTTAAAATGCAGAAATTTCCTATTTAGATCTGTGCCAGTCAATGGAAATTTTAAGTCAACTCACTTGGGTGCCACAACCTAAGCGCTTGGAAATGCATAAAGCAAATCCGAAGCCCCCCCACTGAAAATATTTCACTTAAATCTTGCTTTAACACATATAGGCAATGTATAAATAAAAGGATCAGTCAACAAAAGCATGCACAGGAAGTGCACATCCGCTTCCTTCTGCTGCTGGTGCTTTACATAGCAGCCAAACCAAGTGGAAATGTAATGGTAGGATAAAACATACTACTTAATAGCTCAGATTAATAAGAATAATAAAGTGCATCTTCCTGCAAGTAGAAAATTTGCACCTCACACAAAAACCTAGGTGCAGTCTTGTGCAAATCTTTCTGGCAGGAATCAAGTTTGTATTTGTACAGCCTGGTGTAATTCTCCAAGGTGTTGCTGCGTCATTCTTCATTTACTGCTGTATATATGAGTGAGACAGGCCTTAGATCAGAAGCAAGCAACTTGTGGCACTTCAAATGTGCTGGCCAATGCTGCCTTAGATGGTGTAAATCAAGAAAAGTTTATTCAGGTCTTGCACATGAGAGTTCAATAGCCTAAAAAAGTGTAATTATGCTGAGCAAAAGAGCAAAATAATGATGTTCTTTGGAAGTTGTTTCAGAGAAATAAAACCAGTGAGAGTGGTCTCTTTTCTCTCTCATCAACTATCAGATATTTAAATGTCAGTGTTGGACAGCCTTAGATTTGACCAAAAATAATTAGTAACCAGACTGAGAGTGATAAGAAAAATGCTATCTTGCTTTATGGATCCTGCGTATCAAGCAATTCAAACAACATTGAATTAGAGACCTAGAGAAGTTATAATCAGTTGGTGGCAGCAGAAAACGCAGTCCAAAGTCAAGCTTCACCTGGAAATGTTTGTTTTGAGAGGAAAGTTAAAGCTGCAACAACTGCCATGACAACAAAATGGTTACCAGCTCTGCACAGCAGTTACAGGTCTTGAGGCTGCTGGGACCCAACAACTCCTGAGCAGCAGGTGTACCATCTCCTGGAAGCACCTTTCCATACTGAGCACATGTCTCTAAAGCATTCAGCTGCGCTCTCTCTCTCTCTCTCTCTCTCTCTCTCTCTCTCTCTCTCTCTCTCTCTGCTTTCAAGGGTCTTTTAAAAAATTCAAGGTGTTATTGTGTCCTTTCGAGCTGCCCTAATCAAGCCAGGGCAACTGGCAACCTTAGACAAGAAGGAGTTTGTTCTGTCTCCTAAGCAGTATTAAGTGACTCACTTTTTAAGAACCATTATTTTGACTGCTTTGTCATGAAATGGAGACTTGTGTGATAGTATCCTGAAAGCAAAGAAAGATCTCTTTCTTAGCATCCCTTTCATTACACTGGAGGCTTACTAATAACCCAGCCAAGAACTTAGGCTAAGGTGGCATCCAGGAGGTATTTATATGTGAGATTTGATGGCACCTACTGGAGCCTTACAGTTTCCCCACTGGCCCATACAGATCATTGGGATTTTGGCTGATGTCCTTCGCTTTTCTGTGAAGTTTGCAGAGCCTCAATTGCATCCCCACCCCCGCACACACATTTTTGTTATTATTGCTTAGCCCTGTGTTCTTACCATCATGCTCTTCCTCAACAAAGTTCTCAAATTCATTCCTCTGTTCTTCATGGTATTCTCTCCTTTGTTCATCTGCTGCCAGCATCTGGCGGGTCTCCGCTACATTAAAAGATGGGTCTAATATTACTATTACTGTACTGAAACACTGGATTATTAAAAGTTCCTGGACTTCTCTTTAAGCTTTTAAAGATGCTATCCTGTGCATGTTTAGAAGGAAAAACAGTCTTACTGGCTAGGGAATGCTGGAGAATTGTAGGACTTTTCTGTCCAAACATGCATCAGATTTCACTCTGAGTGGTTTCTGTTGTAGCTTTACCAGAGACCAGGAATGCTTCTAGCCCAAATACCACGTGAAATTCTAAAATATTTTCATACTGAAAGCAGAAGGTAACATCATCAGCTAATACCAACCAATTAAACCTAAAGATGAGAATGCTAATCCATTTTTTTAAAAAAATGAAATCATACTGTGTAAAGTATAATGATTTTTTATTTAATTAACCAAATAAAATTAAATTATTATACTGAAGTAGTAAAAGAAATGTCTCTTTAGAATAAGAAGGCAAGAACACATCTGTGATGTTTTGCGATTTTGAAACCAGCCAGCTTATTTTGCTGCCTCTTTGGCATCATTGATTGATGATGATGATGAATTTGCAACATCAGAAGCTGTTTACTATATGATGCTTTTTATATGCCTTCATACTATGTTCACGTGCGAGTGTGTGTCTTATAGGCACATTAACTATAATGCCAGGGTTCAGACCTTCTCTCAGCCTGAAGGCCACATTCAACTCTTGGATGCCACATTCCAAAAACAAAATAGGTGAAGCCCAAACCCCACAAATGTTGGGATATTGTAGTTAAAGCTTTTACCCTTAGGATAAATACCTACATCCTTTAAAATGGGGGGAAATGCACACAAAACCTTGTGAAACCACCAAATAATTGGTGTTTGAGGGAAAGTGGCTTGGGCCAGAGGAATATAGAATGGTCCGCTAAACCTCAGAGGGTCTGGCTGGGCTACCCAGAGGTGCCAGAATCGGCTCCTAGGCCTAAGGTTCTGCAGCCCTGGTGTAATGGCTTGTGAAGGTTAATCTGAAAGAGTGTGTGAACAGTTACACTTTGTGGCAGGAAGACAGAACTGGGTGGCCTTCTGGGATCTTTTGGTGAAGGTGGAATGCTTACGACTGAGAACGCACATGTCTATCACCAGCTGTTGTGAGGCAGATAGTTAAGAAGCAGCTACCAAAGTGCCACACCAGACTAGATTTAGAGAGGCAGACACAGGTGGCTTATGTGCAGAAAGTAGTCTTGAATGTTACTTTCTTTGTAAAAGGGTTAAGTACCAAAGAAATAATAGGAAGAAAATCAGCTTCACTGGGTTTGTTACCCCAAGATCCAAATAACTGAACGCATCCAAAACCACAATCATTTAATTCTCAAATGAAGTTGCTCAAACATCAAACTAGGGTTTTCCTGTCCTCATATACCTAACAAGCACTCTCAACCTTCGTCATGTGAACCCACCCAGTGTATGGCTAAAGTAAATGTGTGCAGTTTCACACAGTTAAATATTGCATTCTGCATAGCCCACCTCAGAAGTTGCATTTTTGATGCATGTATCTAATAATGCAATACCATGCACAATTATCTTTGTTTGGAGACAGAGTTTACTGAGTTCTTCCTTCTGAGTAAACTTGTATAGGCTTGAGCTGTGAAGTATTGTAAGTGCTCATTCAAAATATTAAGTGTGAATGTGGCATTTCCCCACATCCAGCTACAGACAGAGGCAGAACTGGCTCTGGTTTCCTACTGAGTACAGTGATACCTCAGCTCACGAATGCCTTGGCTCACGAAAAAATCAGGTCACAAACAAAAATTTCGGAAAAATTTTGACTTGGGTCGCGAACACCGCTTTGGGTGGCAACCAAGATTGCAGCCATACCCCCCCTCCTGAGTGGGGAGATGGCCACGATCCCAGTTGCTTTCATGCAGGGAAGGCACGCGTGATCATGGGCGCGCTGCTCCAGGAAAGGCAGGAGCAGCAAAGCAGAGCCGAAGGGGAGATGGCTGCACTTGTGCTTGGGGTGGTGGGGGGAGATGGCCGCAATCTTTGTTGTTGTCACTTTGCTTCACATTTTTCTGATTTAAAAAATGGTTACAGAACAGATTAACCTTATTTACATTGAACCTTATGGGGAAATTTGGCTTGGCTCACGACCAGAGTCCTGGAACGGATTAAGTTCGTGAGCCAAGGTACCACTGTATAAACTTTATGACAAACCTTGATTTGAGGTACATGAAGTTAAGTGTAAGCTGTGGTGCTGTGAAGGGTGCCATACTTCTCCATAATGTAACATTTGAAGGACAGTTTACACCAGGTGTGCAGAACCTCAGACCCAAGATCTCAGCCCAACTCTCTGGGGCTTTCCAAATAGCCACACTCTGTTTCTCCTGACCACTGATCGTTTAGCTATTCCCTGCTTTTGTGCAGTTTCCCCCCATTCTGAAAGGCTGAAAGGTCTCTCCTGCAGCTTAATTACTGGTAGAAAGTGTTTTAAGCTAAGTTGTTGCTCTTGTTGCTATATTTCTGTACTGCCCAGAAGCTGAAGCTCTCTGGGTGGTTTACAACAATAGATAAAATTCAATAAAAGAGAAAACAACAATAAAAATAATTGAAAAGACAATATAAAATGTAAAGACCAAATTTAAAAACTAATTTTAAAAGCTGCAATAACTTACACAAATTAAACAGTTTAGGGCCTGGATATCTGAAATATATGTTTCCTTCCATATGCACTTGGCCATACTCTAAGATCATCAGCTGAGGTCCTTCTTCAGGAGCCCTCACTGAAAAAGTCTAGAAGAGTGGCTACCAGGGGAACAGTCTTTTCAGTGGTAGTGCCCCAACTGTGGAATCTGCTTCCTGGAAAGGTATTCTTGGTGCCAACCCTTTATTCATTTTGGCACCAGGGTAAAATCTTTTTATTTACTCAGTATTTTAAGTGTTTAAATTATTTTATTCTATATTTTATATACTGTGTATTTCATTCTAAGTTCTGTTGCAGATTTTATTATTCTGTTCTTGGATTTATGTAAATTGTCCTGACATCCTATATGGATTAAGG